TGCGGAGCCGGCGCTGCGTCCGTCGGGGTGGCCGGCGGCACGTTTTCCGCAGAGCTCGGCCCCGCGGAGCGGCTCCCGGCCTGGGCGCGGCGCTGACGCGGCTCTCCCATTTCGCAGAGCGGAGACACTGAGGCACGGACACCCGGCGGCGACCTGCCCTGCCTGCCCCAAGGTCACGTAGAGAGTCGGCCCGGGCTGGGTGCCCGTAGCCCCATTGAGGCCTGCCGGGCGTGCTGCGGGCCTGGACGGGGAGGGGGCGGCGCTGGCGGCGGCTTCACCGGGGTGGGCGGCCTGGGCTGGCCGAGCACTGGCTGCGGCCCGTCGGGGGAGGAGGGGAAGGCCGGGCAGCGCCCAGCCCAGCCAGCGTCTCTGGTGTGGGGAGCCCCGTGACCCACAACCTCTGCATCGGGAGGACCCCGAGTCAAACTTGGGGTACGGATGGATGGGGTCCGACGAGTGAGCACCCAAGAGGTTGACGTACCTCTTCAGAGGGCCATTCAATAATTAAACGCCCTCCCACTCAACGTGCTCTCTGAGACACCCTGGCTGTGCTCGGCAGGTTTGCTGCATGGAAGTCCGTGCCTTTGAGCCTGTGTACAGGAAGAGATGGGATAGATGGCTTTCTAAAAAGCCTCGCAGTTCTTAAAATAACAATAACAAAACTCCTGGGAAATAAAATGATTTTTTTTTTTAAACATGCCTACCTCCGGGCTTAGGTCTCCAGAACCCTTTCATGATATGGCATGTAATTCTGGGTGAACTATCCTGGGTCATGTAAGAAAATGGCACATCTTTTTGTAGGAAGTCAGATGTGTTTTGTTACGCATTTTTCTAGCACATTGGCATGGATCCTGGGGCCCCCATTCTCTGATCATACGAGGAGGGAGAAAGAGACAGGTAGAATCTATGAAATGTGGCGCAGAGGGGTTCTAGCCTTCCTCTCTGTTAGCAGTTTGAGAATTTGAGCTTATTCGTTTTAGATCTTTGCTTAAGGGTAAGATCAAGCCACAGGTTTACTGGAACTGATGACATTGTGTCAGGACTTTAGTAGTAGATGGGGAAAGGGACACATCTTGTGACCCTTCACCCCTTTCCAGTACTCCAAATCCCTAAATGGAGAAAACAAAAATTACTATTTTCCTTTGAGCTGATTCAACTGTCTAATAAAGATGTCTTGCCCTGCTAGCTTTATTTACTGTAGCATTTTTTCTTGTTTGAGTTAAAACCCTGTGTTATCGGGAAGCTAACCTGCCTTCCAGGTGTTTTTTCCTTCTTCCTACTAATTGTAGGCAAATACCCCACAGGTAGACAGTCTTAATGCACCCATTGTGTTGGCTCTGTCGTGCCTTTACCCCGCGAGAGGGCTTCCACCTAAGGGAGCTGTGGAGTCTTGCTACCAACTCAACAGTGAAGGGTTGAGAGTTAAGGGGTCTTTGAACTCTCGGTGTTTGCAGAATTAGGCATCTGTGTGTATTTTGAGGAGAACTCATCCCCTGCGATGGGCTTTCTAGGGGCTCTTAACACCACCATAATCGGGGATGTCTTTAGGGACAGGACCTTCTATTCCAACATGATTGCATGTGGTAAGCCTCCCACAGGTCTGTTAAATCACCAAGCCTCTGCCTTGTCTCACACCTGTCAGCTTCCTCTGTCTATAATTGAGGCCTGGAGGTCACCTATAGACTCTGCAGCCTGCAGTCTATGTGACCTGAGGCAAGGCACATGCAGCCTCTCCTGTTTCCAGGGTTTTCATAGGCTAAAGGTGGATGGTACTAGTAGTGCCTATTTCATCAGGTTTTGTGAGGTGCACGTGAGATGATCCTTTAAAATGCTCTGACACAGTTTATGTCACATAATAAATCCTAAATATTTACTCGGCTAATGAGCTCCCATATAACAGAGCTATGGATCATGCTTTCTCAAAGATCTTTGCTGGACAAGGTCTCAAAGTCTTCAGTCCTTGGCTTAAAAGTAGAATGCTGCTTTAGTGAAGTTATCTGTGCGTGAATCAGTGAGCAGATGTAAGAAAGACAGCTGTGGAAGGCATGGCGTGGGTTTAGACAGGTCTAAAAGATGGCGAAAGGAACCTCCATCACTTACCTGGATGATCTCTTTAACTATCAGTATACAGTTGACTCATTGGACAGGCATTTACTGAGCATATACTATAAGACTGGTCACAAGGGATATGCTAATTTTCAAGTGAAGAAAGCAAGTTTTAAGTACCTTACAGAACACTCTTACAGAGAACATAGAAGCTGAACAGGTTCTTTGAAGGAATATTATGAAGAAAAGAACAAAAATGGTTAGAAAAATTCCATTTAGATCCAGTAAAGGTATTGAATGGCTAGGTAAGTGAACGAGGCACCCACAGAAGAGCATGGCTTCACATCCCTAGTGGTTCAAGATTTTAACATGGATGTGGCAAGATGGGGATCAGAGTGCCAGAAGGAAACTTACCTTTATTCTGCCTGTGGTCCCCCACTCTTACCACACTCTCAAAACTAGTGTGACGCCTGCCTGGTGTCAGTCACTGCAGGCCTGCCTTCCCCCTTAGCCCTACCTCAAGAACCACAGTGAGGGGGCCCAGCAGTGTACGCCTGCCCCGGTGGACCCTCGGCCTAGGAAACGGAGGGTCCTAGGAGGCTGAGTTGCCCGCGTTACCGTCGCCACGTCTCCGTGTCCTTTACTTGGAGCAGAAGCCAGTCGCCATGCCCCAAGCCCATCCAGCTCTGCAGAGCTTTGCAGACAGACAAGGGCAGCAGTCACAGGAGCAGGCTGTGGTGGAAAGGGCAGCAGTAGGTATTGATGGAGCCACGAGCTGAGTTCTTCCCGGTACCCTTCCCCTCCTGCACACCATTCATCATGTCTGAAGCGTGTTGTGGAGGGAAAGATGGCTCTGTGGAAAACAGAAGGTGGCAGAGCCATCTCTTATGCGTTGTTCCTAATAGCTTTGTCATTGATGTCTACATCAGTGCCACTATCAGAAGAAATGTGCTTCCTTGGAATGTGTCTTATTGTTACAAAAACTGAGGGCCTTTTAGCATGAGTGCTTGTCTCTTGGATTTGTTTAGCCAGCTGGAGACTGTGACCTTCAATGCTGTCTTTCCTTCTCTCCTTGAACACAGGTCCAGCAGCTGGACATGGAGGACGGACATTCATCACCTCTATCATTCTCCAGGGGTCCACACAAAGAGTCTGTGCATCAGGCCCCTGCTGGACTCCCCAGAGAAACTGTGTTCCCTTCTTGTGTTCTTCCCCCCAAAGAAATTCCTTCTTTGTCTCCCACTGCCCCTCGGCAAGGTGCCCTGCCCCAGTCCGACAGTACTCCGAAGCAAGAGACTTCTGGCCAGATGTCACATGTTCTCCAGAAGGGACCTTCACTCCTGTATCCTGCCACCTCTGAGCAAGACGCACACCACCAGGGATCCCTGGCTTCCCAAGAAGAAACCCAGTACTCTCCTTCAGCTGCTGGTCAGGGGACCCCTCTCCTTTCCCACTCCACCCACCATCAGGAAGCTCCACCCCACTCTCCTGAAGTTCCTGAGAAAGACTCGCTGACTCTGTCCCCCACAGTTCCCGAGACTGACATGGATGCCCTGCTCCAAAGTCCCACTTTGCAAAAGGACACCCCCTTCCATACCTCTTCTACAGCCCAGAAGGAACAGCCACTGCCCACCGCAGAGATCACTCGCTTGGCTGTGTGGGCTGCCGTCCAAGCGGTGGAGAGGAAACTGGAGGCCCAGGCCATGCGGCTACTGACCCTGGAGGGAAGGACAGGGACGAATGAGAAGAAGATAGCAGACTGCGAGAGAACGGCTGTGGAGTTTGCAAACCATCTGGAGAGCAAGTGGGTTGTGCTGGGGACCCTGCTGCAGGAGTACGGGCTGCTGCAGCGTCGGCTGGAGAACATGGAGAATCTGCTGAAAAACAGGAATTTCTGGATCCTGCGGCTGCCCCCAGGCAGCAATGGAGAAGTTCCCAAGGTACACGCACTCCACTGGGGTCTTCCCAAGGAAACCGTCTACAGGGGAACACGGCCTAGGGATTTAGTTCAGTTGAAAGAAAAGGAAAAACAAGAAGTAAGGATCTGACGTCCAGTATTACTTCACCAAGAGCAAATTATTTCTGCTGTTGTTAAAAGCACAGATTGGTGTATAAGTCCACTTAGAAAGGAGTCCATCAAGCCCTTCCCGGAGCCTGAGACAGTGTGTGAGCCTGTCCTCCTGTCAGTCTGCCCTCACACGCTCTGGTTCCGCATGCTGATTTCTGCCCACTCTGGGTTAATACGTCTGCCCTGAACATGCACGCGTTTTTCTAGCTGTCCCCTGAATGATAGATTATAACAGCTGTACCCAGCATTCACATTGAGGCAGCATCGCATGCCATCAAGGGGTGATTTAAAGTGCTGGAGTTTTTTTATAGTTTTTATGCAGATACTGTGCCATTATATATAAAGACTTCAGCATCTGCAGACTTTGGTATCCTGAGATTCTGGAACCAATCCTTTGCAGGTACCAAGGGACAATTGTACCAATGAACAGTGCTTAATGGTTTACCATCAGACTGGACAGGGAGAAGAATATAGTTTAACTGTTAGAGGTTTTGTACTGTCTAACTTTTTTTTTCAATTTACTTATAAATCTTTAATGCCAATAAAACTCATTTCAGGATGTATCCTTAAGGAACTAAGAAACAGGCTTTAATCTTATTTTCCAGAAGGTTCTAAAGAACCTTTTTGTTTCTTTTTGTTCCAGACTGAGTCTGTAAGCTAACACCTCTTGGAGTCTGTTGTACATTAGACTTCTAGGGTCTCACTAAAGGCGTACTGGTCTCTGAAGGTCCAGGGTGAGGCCTAAGAGTGCATTTCCAGCCTGTTCCCTGCTGCTACTGGTGCTACATGTTTTAAAGTAGGAAGGGCCTGGGCAAGATGAGTCCTCCACCCCTTGGCCAGGAATGTGGCCAGATTTCAGCCGGTTTTTAGGAAAGCCCCCTGAGCAAGTGCAGGGGAGGAAGGCCTTCCCTCTCCGGTCCTTAGGAAGGAGGTTGGGTTGAACAGTCTGTGTGGTGTTAGCTCTTTGGGCCTTGCTAACCCGGTTGCTTGGTTTCAGGTCCCTGTCACATTTGATGATGTTGCCGTCCATTTCTCGGAGCAGGAATGGGGAAACCTCTCCGAGTGGCAGAAGGAGCTCTACAAGAATGTAATGAGGGGCAACTATGAGTCTCTGGTCTCCATGGGTAAGTAGGCAAACATTTGGTTTGGTTTCGGTTTTATTTGGTTGATTGGTGGAGGTACTTGTTTGGGTTTGGTTTTGTGTGTATGTGTTGTTTTGTTTTGAGGTAGGGCTCCCCTGGCTGGCCTAGAACTTGCTGTGTAGACTGTGCTGGCCTCAAGCTCACTGAGATCCTCCAGCCTCTGGCTCCCTAGTGCTGGGGTTATAGAAAGGCACTGCCATGCACATGATGGGTTTAACAGGATCTTACTGTCGAGAGTTTAGCCCAGGCTGACCCTGAATTCCCAGTCCTGCTGCCTCCACTTCCTGGTGTTGAGATTATAGACATGCACTACCACACTAGAATCTTACCCGTTGTGTGTGTACCCAGTGTGGTGCATACCTGTGTGTGTGTGTGTGGAGGCCAGAGGTCGATGTCAAATGTTTCCTCTGTTCTCCTCGTTAGTGTTTTGAGGTGAGGCCTGTCACTGAACTAGTTCACCTGACTAGGCTGGCTGGCCAGAGTGCGTCTGGGACCTACCTGCTCCCTTCCCCTCCCTCTCCTCTCCAGCCAGCACTAGGGTCACAGATGGTCACCACTGCACCTAGTGTGCTGGGTGCTGGGGATCAAAGCCGGGTTCCCATTCGTACAGAGCAGGTACTTTAACAACTGTACCATCTCCTGGCCCTCCAAACAGTACCACAAATGGGCTAGAGATTGCTCAGTGGTTAAAAGTTCCCAGCACACACATCAGGTAGCCTACAACTGCCTGTAACCCCAGCTTCAGAGGATCCAACACTTCTCTTCTGAACTTTGTAGGCACCTGGAATCACATGTACATAAACATACATACATATGTAATTAAAAATAAGATAGTTTTTTCTTTTAAAAAGAGTGATATAAATGAAAAAAACAAACAAAAAACAAACTTCCCACATACTCTTGTATGTTAATATGGAACAAGCTGGAACAATCTATTCGTAGAGACTATAGGGCGCTTGGGCTGCAGGGGAAAGCTGGCTAGACGTTGGTGGGCCACCATACAGCATTTCCCCCTGCATCCTGCTTATGAAATTCATTATCTAGTGAATTATTAGTAAGAGGAAAGTAACTGGAGGAATACAGATGTACTGAGGGCCTACTGTGTGTCAGCAGGGTGTGAAATGCTTCTAGGAATAACAGTAGTGAGGGACTGAGGACAGGATTAGAGATCTAGTTTTCTTACTCACACAGCTGGACACTGTCGCTACTAAGGCCAGATGGCCCCAGGGTCCTGGTCCCCATTAGGAAGTCACAGTCTCATAGAAGACTGTTTTATACCAAGGTCTGTTGATTCTTGTTTTCATTAAAAACATGAAAGGACAAAAAAAATGGAAAGATGGACTTTCTTTCTGTATGTATCCTTTTCTCTCATGTGTAGGATTTTTTGACATAGATAAAAGAAAAAGCTGAGGGTCTCAGTGGATAAAGAGCTTGCTATGAAGCATAGGAAACCTGAGTTAAGATCGCCACCACTCACATAAAGGCCAGCACAGTGGTGTGTGTCTGTAATCCAGTTACAGCTGGAGGTGCCTGGAGCTTTACTGTGTAGCCTGTCTGGTCAAAACAGATTCAGGGTCAGTGAGAGATCCTATCTCAGCAAATGAGGAGGGAGAGTAAAGAGCAGGCACCTGATGTACAACTCTGGCTTCCATGTGTGCACACAGGTGAGCACACCTGCATACCCCGCCTCCCTGAAACACAAGTACGAGAGAGAAAGGTGTGAATGTTGAGTACACTGTTGGACAGAAACTTGGATTTGGGTGCTAGAGATGCCTCAGCAGTTAAGGGCACTTGCTGCTCTTGCAGAAGACCTCAGTTTGGTTCCCAGCACCCACATGGCAACTATCTGTAACTCCAGTACCCTCCTATGGTCTCTGTGGGTATGAGGCACACAGGTGATGCACATGCAGGCATGCAGGCAAACACTAACACATGTAAAATATGAATGAATGAATGAATGAATGAATGAATGAATGAATGAATGAATGAATGAATGAATATGGGATTGGAGAGAGCGCTCAGCATTTAAAAGCATTGGCTGCTCTTCCAGAGGATCTGGATTTGGTTCCCAGCACCCAGATGGTAGCTCACAACCATTTGTAACTTCAGTCCCAAAGAATCTCATGCCCTCTTGCCTCTATAAGCACTGTACACAGTGGTGGACAGACATACATTTAGGCAAAAATGCCTGTAGACATAAAGTAAAAATCTCAAAAACGTTTAAGTTTAAAAAAAAAAAATCCTTTTTTAAAAAACAAACTTTGATTCATGCTAAAATAGGTAATTTTAGACATACTTTTCCATAGGCTAACATTACTCTTCTTAAAAATTTGTGTTTTTTAAAATACAGACACAATTATAAAAAGTTAACAATTTACAATTACATAATAAAGAGCAACCACTAACCCACAGAGGAGGCCACCAGGCCCCCTTTAGATCCTGTCCTTTCATCTTTTCTGTGCGTGTGTAAACATATGCACAGTGTGTGCCCCATTACACATGGAGTGTGGAGTTTGCACAGAGGCGACCTCATATTAGACAGCTTTCCTTATCGCACCTGTAGGCCACAATCCTTGGAAAGAAAGTACAGTTTCCAGGTGAACTTCGGCTTTTTTAAAAAAATATGTATGAGTGTTTTTCCTGCATGTTAGCATATGTACCACATGCATGCCTGGTGTCCATGGAGACCAGAAGAAGGCATTCAGTCCCCTAGAACTAGAGTTACAGGTGATTTGTGAGCCGCCATGTGGGTGCTGGGTACCTAACCGCGGTCTTCTGCAAGAGCAAGTGCTCTTAAGCCCTGAGCCCTCTCTGGGCCTCTGAACTCTGGCTTTTGACTGTGCTGCGGCTGGGCCACGGTGCCTCTGTCTCTCACTGCTGTTGTGAGAAACGGCCCTGTGCATGTGTGCAGTGACCCAGTGATTGGAAGTGCAGATGTGAAGTGGCCTGTGGGGTAGAGGATGCTCTACCGAGGAGCCTCTGACGAGGAACCAGTGTCTTGTCTGCAGCAGCACATGAGAATGCCATTTCTCCACACCCTGGTTTCTTCTGTTGTTTTGAATCTCTGTCATGTTTTGTTTTGTTTTCTGAGACAAGATCATGTAACCCAGACTAGCCTCAGATGTTCTGACCTTGAACACCTGATCCTTCTCTATTCCAAGTACTTAATATAGGCAAATATTTGTCCCTTGGATAGATGAAAAAAATGATACTATTTTTATTTGAATGTATTTCTTTGATGATTAGTGAACTTGTGCATCTTTTTTTATATAATTGCTGGTCATTTGTATGTCTCCTGTGAATTACCTATTCATACTTCTGCCCTTATTTTCACTGATTATAAAGGTTGCTTCTATATAATTATGAATATTAACCATTTGCTATATGTGGTAATATCTATGTTTCTAATATTTCTTCCATGTTTCTTCATCCTTTTATTTCAAAATAATTTTAAACTTCTTGAGGAGTATTGAAGATTGGACTTAGGGTCTCATACATGTTAGGCACATGTTCTACCACCGAGCTACATGCCTGCCAAACTTCTTTCTTTTTCTGTCGGAGACAGGCTCTCACTATGTATCCTTGGCCTGCCTGAAATTCACAGTGTAGCCCAGGTTGACCTTGAATCCACAGAAATCTGCCTACCTCTGTCTCCCCAGTGCTGAGAATAAGGGTGTGTGCCACCACATCTGGCCTCTTATTCTGTGGTTTTGGAACAGGATCTCCCTCTGTGGCCCAGCCGCCATCAGACTCACAGCAGTTCTGTCTCCAGCTCCCAAGTGCTGGTATTAGAGGCATGAGCCATCACGACTGGCAGCCCTTTTCATACGAGGAACTCACTCTATCAGTATTTTGTTTTATGAATTTTATACTTTATCAGGATTAGTTTTTACTTCATCCAATTTCAGTTTTGTCTGAAGCTCCTGGGCAAGCTTCATTCCCTGTGAGCAGCGTGAGACACGTGTGCACACGGGTCCTGAAGAAGGAGGCTGAATACTTCCTGTTTATATCCCAGCATTGCAGTCCCTGGCAGAGGGGCTGTTCCAGTCACATCCCCACAGATAACACCTTTACAGCATACAGTACCACCTCATACCACAGAATATTTTCTTTCCTTCCTTCTGCCCAGACTATGCAATATCCAAACCAGACCTCATGTCACAGATGGAGCGTGGAGAAAGGCCAGCCATGCAGGAGCAAGAGGACTCTGAGGAGGGTGAGACGCCCACAGACCCCAGTGCTGGTGAGTGGCAAATGGATGTCCCAGGGCCCTGCATCCTGGGTCTTTCAGTAGCTCCAGTCTAGAGTGCCACAGTCAAGACAGGACCTGAGCAAGCTGTATAAGAAGGAGGAGGCCTGCAGGTAGATGTTCTCTTGGGATACCAGTAGCACAGGTAGCTGATAAGTAGGAATGCATAGAGTTCATTGTCTTGGAGGTTTTTTGTTTTGTTTGTTTTTTGTTTTTTGTTTTTTTGACATGACCCATTCTTGTCATACTTTTTGCAGGAAGAATCATAGAGAAGGCATTCCTGTGTTATGCTCATACCTCCTAGATTTCCCACAGAAGGGCATGTCTCTGCCTTAATAGAGGGCAGGCGTGGACTTCACTAGGCTGTAGCCTACATACATTCACTGTGAGTGGTATCCTGGTGCATCAGTTTTGTAGGCTGTGCTTGGGATTTTCCTTTGGACTTGAGTCACTTGCCTCAGATTTGCAGTAGAAACATCCCCTTGTCCTTGGTGGTGAATGTAACAATCAAGCATAACAACATCAGCCAGGCAGTGGTGGCACATGCCTTTAATCCCAGCACTAGGGAGGCAGAGGCAGGTAGATCTCTGGGTTCGAGGCCAGCCTGGGCTACAGAGTGAGTTACAGGACAGGCAGAGCTAGCAATACAGGAAAACCCTGTCTCAAAAAAAATGAAAGAAAGAAAAAAAGGCGACGACTAGAACAGCACTGGGGGTCCTATTGACTGCAGAAGGGAGAGTATCCTGCTGGGGAACTGTTGGTGACCAACAGACAGCTTTGTTATGATTAGTGCCATTGATTTGAAGACTGCATTAGCTCAGAAACAACCCAAGGCGGGGAAGGTTTGTCTGGGCTCCCAATCTCAGAGGGGTCAGGCCATGGCTGCCTGGCCCATGCACTCGATGCCCAGCATCAGATGGAGGGGTGAGGCTTGCCCCAACTCAGTACCACAGATAAAAATAGATGAATTTGAAAGTAGATGAGGTTGAGGGGTTGGTCTAGGGATACACTTTGGTTAGAGGAAAATCTGAAAACAAGAATTGGGTGGGAATAGAGAGATTCTGTGTGGAAGAACTCAGGCAGGGAGGCTTAAAGCAAGAATTGGCAGAGATGCTGCGTGGCCAAACCCTGAAATATGGCTGCTGCCCCCACTGGTCTTGAGGCCAGGGGCCGCACTGGTAGCATCCACCTCTTTCCCTGTCTCCTTTTGCCATCTGCATCCCAGATGGGCCTCCCATTGAATAGGGTTCGAGTGAGAAAGACAAATGACCTGGCCCACTTTGCGCTGAGCTGGGTTTAGTCTGGCACACATGTCCAGGGCCTGAGCTGCAGAAACAGTGGCCTTGTGGAGAGATTCGCACGTCTCCTTCCCAGCCCTTGGAGCTGACATCAGTGGGGAGGGCAGGTGACATGGAATAGTTAGTTAAAGACAATTGCTACTGGAGAAACTGTTGGTGTCTGCCCTTCCACAAACCTGGGTAATCTGCCCAGTGTCTTCTCCCTAGCAAGAAGATGGCAGAGCGACCCTCAACCAGATCCAAAGGTAGACCAAGCAGGGGCATCTAGAAAACTGAGAACTTTCTTAGTTCCACATGTATCAAGAATGACAATTTTATGAGCTGTCTCAGTAAATTCATTCAGTGCTTTGGGTCACTAAGAGATCCAGAGAAAAATCAGATATTTGCACTTAGCTGGAAGTACTCAGATTAGTTGTGTCCATGTCATCCGTCTGTGTGTCCATCCATTTGTTCCCTTCCCTGTGTACTCACAGCCTGCAAATGCAAAACAAACCAGAAGGCATGGCAGAAATGTGAATTCTCATTTGTCTTAAACATTTTTTTAAATTTTTATATTTTATGTGCATTGGTCCTCTGGAAGTGGAGTTACAGACCATTGTAAGCTGTCATGTGGGTGTTGGGAATTGAACCTGGGTCCTCTGGAAGAGCAGTCAGTGCTATTAACCACCGAGCCATCTCTTTAGCCCCTGTTTTAAACATTTTAAAAATATTAATACATTTAACCTAATAAGGTCGTTTGAGAGAGTCTAACATTGAACAGAATCTAAAATATAGTTTAAAACATACTACGTATATCATAACATGGTACACTTTCTGTCGCCTCTGACATCATATTATGAAGAATTTTTATACCATAAGATTCACTTGTTTGTTTATTATTTAGCTCATCAGATTTTTTTTATATCAGGTACTTTGTTCATAGCTGGGTACCCAAGAGGTCCTTGCTCTCACTTAGGCCGACACCAGTAGGAAGACCAGTTTTAGCAACCACATCTACACTATGTGAAAACAGTCACTGGACTGGAGAGATGACTCAGCCATTATCATGTACAGCTCTTACAGAGGACCACGTTCAGTTCCCAGCACCCACATCAGATGGTTCACAACTGCCTGTTATTTCAGCCCTAGGGGATTCACTGCCATCTGGCCTCCTCTAGTTGTTCATGAACGTGGTATATGCACATGACATACCACGTTGTGTACACAGGTGTACACATAAGTAATATAGATCTTTAAAACAAAACAGAAAGACCACAGTCATATCCTATAATACAGCTGTGACAAGAAGCAGCCAAAGAAGCAAGACAAAGCAGAAGATTTTGCTGAGTTTGGGGGGTCAGAAAAGGCATCATACAGACTGGCACGATGTCTCAACAGGTCAAGGTGTTTGCTGCCAAGCCTGAGCATCTGAGTTCAATCCCCAGGATACCCATGATAGAAGGAGAAAACATCTCCAACAAGTCCTCTGGCCTTCACATGAACCTGTACACAACACACAAGTACAGTAAAAACATTTAATAAAGAAGACAAATCTTGGAACAACGAAATTTTAGTAGAGACCTAAATAACAACTAGATTCCTTGCTCCTAGGAGAACTAATTGAAGGGAAGATACTGGAAGCTGGGAGATAGCCGTACGTAGAGCCCTTAGCACAGCCCAGTGGGAACAGTGGCTATTTGCAAGATATGTATTAGCTGTTGACCAAGAAAAACTTAGCAACTGGTAGGTGTGAGTAAGGGGAGTGGAGGGTGCAAAGGATGATTCCTAACCTCTAACTCAATGAGGCCTGGATGAAGAGAAATAATAAAAATTCACTTTTGAACATGTCCCAGCAAGACACTGAGGAGAAAGCTGCTGAATAGAGTCTGGAGCTTAGAAGCAGAGTTCTGAACTAAAGACAGTTGGTGTTGGACATTGGGACATTTGGACATTAGGTATTGATGGTATCGACAGGATTAGATTGGTCTGAAAAGTACAAACTGTCATTGCAGAACCCCGACTCTTGGCAGATTTGGGGATCTGGAATCTGTTAATCAGAAGGAACACAAGTCTTGTTTTATCTTAATTGTTTTATGTATGTGTGTGTGTGTAGTGTGCATACATATGTATGTGTAAGGGTTCATGTGTGTGCAGGTTCCTATGTCTGTGTATGATGTCAAGAGTCTTCCTTGGGCTGGAGAGATGGCTCAGAGGTAAGAAGCACTGGCTGTTCTTCCAGAGGTCCTGAGTTCAAATCCCCAGTAACCACATGGTGGCTCACAACCATCTATACTGACATCTTGTGCCCTCTTCTGGCCTGTAGGGATACATGCAGACAGAATATATTATACGTAATAAGTAAATCTTTTTTTTTTTTTTAAGGTTTATTTATTTACTATGTACACACAGTGTTCCACCTGCATATGTGCCTGCATGCCAGAAGAGGGCACCAGATCTTATTTTAGATGGTCCTGAGCCACCATGTGGTTGCTGAAAACTGAACTCAGGTCCTCTGGAAGAGCAGCAGCCAGTGCTCTTAACCTCTGAGCCATCTCTCCAGCCCCCGTAAATCTTTTGTTTTGTTTTGTTTTAAAGAGTCTTCCTCAATTGCCCTCCACCGTATGTATTGAGGCAGGGTCTCTCAGTTGAACCCAGAGCTCACTGATATGGCTAGTTCAGATATTCCTGTCTCTGCCTTCCTTATACTGGGATTATAGGTGGGCCACTGTGCCCCACCAGTTTTTACATAGGTTCTGGGGATCCAGAGTGGTTGCTTATATAGCAAACACTTTAACCACTGAGCCATCTCCCTAGCATAATTTTTATTTACTTTATGAGTATTTTACTTGAATGTAAATCTGTGCACCCCACATGCATGCCTAGTGTACATGGAGGTCAGAAGAGGGCAATGGGTCCCCTGAAACTGGAGTTATTGACAGTTTGAGCCACCATATGGTGGCTGGGAATTGAACCCAGGTCCTCTGCAAGAAAAAAAAAAAATGCTCTTTTATTGTTGTTGTCTGTCTGTTTTGTTTGAAACAAGGTCTCTGTGTAGACTTGGCTGTCCTAGTGCTCGCTGTGTAGACCAGGCTGTCCTCAAACTCACAGACCCTCCTGCCACTACCTCCAACAAATTAAAAAAAAAAAAAAAGAAAGGAAGAGATGGGAGAGAAAACTGAGGACAAGGTGGGAAGCTGTAAAAGATCCTGGGTACACTAAAAGGTTCTAGAATTTTTACAAGTAGATGAAACTAAATAAATGCTACATGTGTATGAATGCTGCGAGAATAGAATTACATAGCTTGGGACCTGAGGAGAATTTGGAGCTGACTGTGAGGCCATTAACAGTGAGCAAAGCAAAGAAAAGGTGATCACCTCAGGGGAAACAGCCAGCTGCAAACACGAGCTCGCCAGCTGTGGCTCCACATCAGGCTCACCGAAACCATGGGACGTTTCGGGGCTGGCAAGAGGTTTGGAGGGAATGGTCCTGTCTAACCAGCTCAAGAAGTGCCCATACAGGTGTGTTTTTAGGAGTCCAGTCATGAGGTGAGAAACAGGGATCCTTGGAATCCCTGGCTACAAAGTGAGTTTGAGGACAGGCTGGGCTACCCGAGGCCCTGTCTATAGGACAGTTAGCAAAATCAGACACAAAGGTGAGAGAGACTGTATGCACATCAGTCTTCTGAGAACTGAAGAGCATCCAGATACTGTTTATACC